TACCGAACGCGTGGATGTGTTTTTATGTCTGTCCGGTAATAAATACGGCTCCTATGGCCGTTTACAAAACGTGTACCTTGTGGATTTTTGTGAGAAATATGTCGGCAGATTTGTATTGGAGCCTATGGGGCTTTTGGCAGAGGTTGTGTCACTCAAACACACCTTGCGCCAAAACTAAAGAACTCTGGGATTCCATGAACACATTAATCCAATCAGCACAACCATACCCTCATTAATCTGAAGAAATGAAGCCTCTAGAGTGTATACTTTGGCTGCAAGGACAAAAGTTCCATATTTTTTTAACCAGATTCCTGCGATGCCCCACACTCTAGCCTCGAGCTCTCCACTCTAGCAGACGCAATACACACTCATGTAAAAGTCAGAAACGGAGCGAAGAACTAGTGAAACATAATCAGTGATTATGAAAAAAGTACAATAGATATCAAGAAGCAGTTTTTTTCATAAAATAGTTGAGACCTGTGTCAACATTTGAAAGTTTAAACGGTGTCTGTAGCTGAAAGATTGGGGAAGCTGAAAAGTCTGAAAGTTGAAGAAGTTTAAGGAGGATTTGAAAACAATTTCCATTGGAAAACCATGTTAAAATATTTATGATTATTGATTTATATAAATTCAAGCATAAGTGGTAGAAAGCTTAAAAGTCATAGCCTTAAAGCCAGAAAGGAGCTGAACATTTTAATATTTGAACGGTTTAAATAGCTGAAAATGTGAAGGAGTTGAAAGGTCGCGCGGAAGAAATAGATAATAATAAGTCGGAAATAAAGATCCGAAGACATACTGGAATGCATCGTAATGCATTCCAACAATAAGTCGGAAATAAAGATTCGAAGAACAATACTTGGAATGCATCGTTAATGCATTCCAACAACTAGAAAATGCATTTCCTGCTGAAAATGCGTTGGAATGCAAAAAGCTGAAAGCTGAAATGAATATTTAAAAATAGCTGAAAATACTGAAAGTTGAAGGGAATTTGAATACATCTGAAATTACAGATATTAGAAACGCTGAAATTAATTTGAAATTGCTGAAAATACAGAAATGGGAGAAGCTGAAAGGAATTTCAATAGATTTGCTGAAAAAGCAGAAATGAAAACAGCTGAAATAAATGTGAAATATTGCAAAAAATAGCTAAAACAAATTTCAAAGACGGCTGAAAATACAGAAATCCGAAAATTTACCAACAAGCCGAAAAACTGAAATGAATTTAAAAAATGCTCATGATATAGAAATGACAATGTACCAGCAAGCTCAAAGATGAAATTAAGTTCAATTTCTGAAAATATTGAAATTTCCAATGGCTTTGCTGAATAAGTGTTAATGCCAAAAAGTGAAGACCAGCACAGCAGGAAAACATAATATTTTAATTTCAAAATTGGCAGTGTGGAAGATGAAGTGCAGCATTTAACAAAGCTAAGAGTTGAAATACAACACAAAAGAAGATCCCGCCTTTACATCCTTTTTTGACTCATTATCTTCTATCGAAATATAATAAAATAATATAGATGAGTACAGTGCACAAGTACTGTTGTATTGGTCATAATTATTTTGAGTATTTTGTGAAAGATAACATCTTAGAGTGAGAAATGTATCAACACAGTTTTGTGAACATTGATCCCTGTGTTATTCATGAATAAATGTACTATAGTTTCAATAGTTAACAATATGGTTCATTTCCTACAATCAAAGGTTTTTCACATCGTTTCCAGACTTAGGTTAATACTCAGTTCAAGACTTCAAGGTCCAGGAGCCCTGGACAGATAAGTCTTGTCAACATTGTCGTTTAGACTATCCCAGCGTTAAGCTCAGTTTACTGAGGCTCACAGACACACTGGGTTCTCCTTACTTTGATGGAACATTCGGTTAGAGTCATTTGTTGACTCAAGGTTAGGACCCAAGCTTTGTAGGATTTGTTTTCCTATTAAATCTTTTGACAAGGCTCTTTGCACCAAGTCATGTTTTAGCCATCTGAAGATGACACACTTGATGGATTTCACAGTCTTACAATTTAACACTGGGCAGCCTCAGTAGAGTTTAGGTTATCCTAAGGATCGGTGTACACATGTGAAAAACCTTGAATATACCTACCAGCTGAAACCCCATACTAATGACTCATTGTGATACAAATATGTCATTTCTTCAAGGTTAATTTGTCCACTACTGCACGAGGCAATCAAACAAACATTTTCATCCTTAATTTTCTCATAAATCTGACTGAAAAGGGACGGATGACAAATAAATAATAAATACATAAATAAATACAATCAACAAAAAAAAATGCGATGAAACATAAGGAAAACGTATATTGTTAGATCAAATACGGTAGAGATTAAACAAACAAAATAGACAGGTGTCCTGTAGTAATACTGTTCATGAGTTAGTAGTGTATGCTTTGAAGACTTGTAACATTATGACCTTTGACCTGTGCAGCGGCTGTAGATCCACTGCTCCAGTCATCACGTCAGGATAGTGTTACTATAGCTACATGGAGGAGGAGAGGCCTTAAAGACAGAAACAGAAGAAAATGTATTCATGTTGTTAAAAATGTAAACAGCACATGCAAGTAGGAAGACTACCAGGGGATTGTTTGGTTGTGGTCAGAGATATATTTTTAAAAAGATCTAATCCCAGTTGTTACCTTTACAGCTGGTTTAGGGAGGAGCTTGAAGCTGCATAAAGGTGGGGCTGTCACTGGGACAGTGATGACTGACGGATGACTCTTCCTTGCAGTCACACACCTGATCCTGACAAAAATAAAACAGGAAGTTATTGTTAGAAACTAAACTTTCTAAAAAGGTTTATAATTCACAGTAATGAAATACCTTGAACTCTGCTGCAGAGCAGATCAACATGTAGTCCAGTGAAACTGAATACACTGCATGATGTTCAGCTTCTTTTATGTGTTCAGCTCTCTGCAGTCCTGAGTGTCTTCACTGTGAAGTGGAGGAATCACAAAGGAGGAAGACCTGAAGGAAGAAGTGGATATAAAATTAGAATGTTATATTGGATGTACAATTAGTGTTATTAAGAATATTGCATTCATACAAAAGTAATACATGAATGATAACAAAATTAAAACAAAACATTAGAAATCACATATGAAATAAGAAAACAATACCTTATTATCTGTTGTGAAGAAACCTCAACACTGGCAGGGGGAACACGTGTCTCTGTGGTCCAGCAAGTGTCCACTGATGATGAACAGTTAACACGGTGCTTCAACATCTGCTCTGCTGCTGCAGTGGTGGCAGGATGTCCTGGTCGGTATGAGCTGATCCAGAATCTCAGAGCCAGACAGGAAGTGAGGCAAAGACAGGCAGGTGTTTTCTCGTCCTTTGCTTTGAAGAATGACGGGGACAGGCAGGAAGTCAAATGTGTCCCTATGAGGTCTAACTGTGATGGGTCCTCGGTTGATTGACAGTTCAGTTGGTGCTGCAGTCTTTGGGCATGTCTTAGATGCTGTGAGCTGATCCTCACAGTGCAGAAGGAGGTGAGGCCAAGACTGGAAGGTGTCTTTACAGAGGACAAGGGAGGACTGTGTCTCCTGTCCCTTCAGAAAAGGAAACTTAACACTACGTAGGAAACACGACAATTGTGTTCTCCCGTCCAATTACAAAGGATAATCCTTAACAGTACATAGGAAACATGACAATTGTGTCTCCTGTCCAATACAAAGGAAACTTAACAGTACATAGGAAACATGACAATTGTGTCTCCTGTCCAGTACAAAGGAAACTTAACACTACAGAGAACACAGGATAATTAAAATGAAATTAATAGGGATGGAAGTGTGGGGTTTCAGCTGGTAGGTACATCAGAAAGTATGTGTTACACCTAGAACACATACTTTCTGATGTGCGTCTGCTACACTAAATGTCAGCAGCTATGTACAATGCATTTTACATTGTACACAGCTGCTGAAAGAGTTTTGGCCTGTGCATTTATCAACCCTAAACCAAACCCACCCTGATAAATGCACAGGCCAAAGTGTGTTAGAAATATTGCTAGAAAAAAACATGGTTACCAGGAAAACTATATGACCCATAATATTATCCAATATTGTGAACACTTAAAATTAGCCCATTCTACAATCTTATTACAGTGCAACAACTAGTTTGACCAGATGATTCAGTTTTCTTTACATTGACGATAACATAATCCCAGACTAACAACAATGTGGTATTGTTAAAAAAAAAGTACACGATTCTCAGTAGATTTTGGTCTTACCTGACAATTTTAAGACCTGTTGGAGGAATGTAGACAGAAAACATGATTGTGACAAGTGACATGTTTTTTACTGTACCAGAGTGGAGGCCCTGCTGTGGTGGAAAGATGGAAACGGCTGTATGGCGGATCCCCCTCCTCTGTATAATCATGCATAATTGTATTAAATCAATTTATATACAAGTACATTGCATTTTTCTTTAAAACTCAGCTGATACCTTCATGGACTGATCGAGGACATGACACAATAGACAGGGTTGTGATAACTGTAATAGGTTCTCATCACACCAGAGTGGAGACAGCGTTGTGGTTGAGAGATGAAAATGAGGTCCAGCAGTGTGTTCTTGTCAGTGGTTGCAGCAGTGATGACTTGTGCAAATCCTCTGGACTGGAAGAGCTCAAGGATTGGCTTACCAGTGTTGGAGAAGAGATTCTCGTTGAAATCACCACAGACAATGATGGGCTGACAGTCCATGATCTCCAATGAGTCCAGCAGGCTCCCCAGGTTGGACAGGAATGATCTCACACTGTAGTCTGGAGGTCTGTACACAGCTGCAATCAGGGCTCTCACTGGGGCTTCTACCTTCAGAGCCACAAACTCAAGATCGGTCACATTATGTACGTACTGTTTCTCACGCACCTGAATGTGGCTTTTCACATAAACAGCAACTCCACCACCACCTCTGTTGGCTATTTGTGGAACATTTGTGTAGGACAGGTGTCTGTTGCGTTTGAACATGTTGTAGCCCTCTAAATGGAGACTCTGTGCAACAAAGGAGCCTTGAAGGTGAGTTTCTGTGAGACACAAAACATCTGCAAGACACAGTTCATGATGGCTCCTGATGTCAATGATGTGCGATGGCAAACCTTCAGTGTTATGGTGAACAATGGTCAGAGTGTCGTGTCTGCTCGAGGTCTCTTTGATACGAAGAAGAGGCATCACGTCGTCCAAGTTGACTTGTCTCATGGTCTCGAGGGCTCCAGTGATTTCTGGGTTGGCATAGATTTTACTCTCATCCAGATCCAGCATGTGCAGTCCACTGAGAGAGGTCACTCTACTGATCGCTACGTAAGCCATGCCAGGTTCAAAAATGTGTTTCAGTGACACTACAGCTGATGTCCTCGTCATACCCTGAACCTTGTGTATCGTGCAGGCAAAGGCAAGTCTAACAGGAAACTGTCTGCGTACAACTCCTTTCTGTTTCAGATGTCCTCTGCTCTCTCTATGTACACCACATCATCAGGGCCGCCTGGTGCTCTATTACGGTAATTCCTTCCAGCAGTTTGATCATCCATCTTGAGCCCGAGCATAGTGACATGTGCAACACCACTCTGTTCTGCGGTTATTACCCTGACTAGTGTAGCAAACGATCCATTCACCAATCCCTGAGACACGTCTATGTTTCTGGTGAGCATGACTCGAGCACCTTCAGCTACGTTTAGTGTGTCTGGTAACTCATTTCTGTTTCCTTTGTATGGTTGGGCTTGTCGAGCCATTCTTCCAGTTCGTGGGTCCTTCTTGTAGTCATCTGCATCGATCTTGGTGATATTAGAATGGAGCAGAGCTAATGTCACTGAGTTGTGTGAATCAACCTGTTTGTTAGTTGCAAAGATGTGCAGGACATCAGGTGGACAAAGTGATGGTTCAGTGATGGTCTGTGACAACAAGGCTCTGTCTGCTTGAGACAACTCATCTGACTTTCCTTTCACACGGATCCGGTTCAACATCTCTGCAAAGGCAACATCATCCTTCTGCCGCATAATCTCAGTCAGGGTGATTGTCTGAAAGTGTTCCTGCCATAGGTCAATCTCACATGGCTCGTACACACAGAGGGTCTTGGACTGTCGCACTGGTGGTAGCTGATAAAAGTCTCCCACAGCTATTACTGACATTCCTCCAAAGGGTTTGGGACTACCTTTGATCTGTTTCAGTCTTGCATCCACATAAGCAAACAGGGGCTTTGACACCATAGACACTTCATCAATGATGAGGATTTCAGCATTTAAAAGTTCTGATCGGACTTCATCCAGTTGGTTACCAAGTCCTTGAAATGGGAGGTTTCAAACTCCGTGGAAGCTTGAGCAGAGAGTGCAGTGTTGATCCTGATATATTGAAGGCTGCAGTTCCAGTGAAAGCTGTCAACAGGACCGTGGGGTTTGATATGTCGACCTCCTCAGAATGGCTGGGCAGTTTGCACAGTATCTTAGATGCTTCTGAGTAGATGCATTTAATGAGATGTGACTTTCCTGTTCCAGCACCACCATTGACGTAAAAGAAAAACTGCTCAGGATTTAGGCCACAAACACGCTTTACGCACCAGTCTCTAACTGCATAGAACACACATGCTTGTTTCTGGTTCAGGTTCTGATACATTTTCCGTAGCACTGTGGGGTCAAAGGTCGGAGGCTCTCTGATGGCTCTGGCTTCTGTTGCAGCATTAGCTTGATTAGTGTATTCTGGAACATTTTCTTGAACATTTTCATGATCTGGCTCTCTTGCCTCCAGTTCTTCGATACATTCCAACCTTCCACTTCAGATTCTGGAGCCAGATTGCACCATTCATCAATCACTCCTCTGTTCTGTTCAAATTCTTCCACTGCATTCTCAATGTCCTCGCTGTTTTTCTCATATTTGTCTTTGTTTCGTTTCACAATGTGACGGACATACTCAGGATGGTCAGAACCTGGTAGTTGGACACAACCACTCTTGTAGAAGGACTCGTACGTGGGGAAATGCCGTCTTTTCAGTTCCAGGTCTGATCGGTGAGGAATGTACAGTTTCAGTAATGTGCCATAGAACTTCTCTGGATATTTTTCCTGTGAGCAGCGGTAAAATCTGATGATAGCGGGCTTATCGTTTTTACGCTTTTGCACAAATCCCATGTCATTGAGGAGAGGCAACACATCTTTTCCTTTTTTCTGCTGGCCGTAGACAATTCTGCAAGTAGCTGCGAAATCAGCCAAACACATTTGCTCAAACTCTGGTGTTTCTGGTCTGGATTTGTATTTGTCAGTCAAAGACGTCATCCACACATTTACACTTTCTAATGTTGTGTTCTCCAGGTAAGACATGGGGCGACTCATTTTCAGTGCGTTGTCATCTGTAGGCACGAATATGACACCACGTGAACACTTCTTCATGTTTATTCCACATGCACGAGTCACACACTCCTGAGCACTGACCTCTCTCTTTTTAGAGTACGCCTGCATGATTTCCCTCATTTCATCACATTCATTGACGTGGTCTTTGGTGGAGTTTTCAATGACTGTTTTAAGGTACTCAGAAAGTCCAGATTCCTTTTTGGTGATGTAGCTGGTGAGATACATGATGCACGAATATGCATTGAGAATATAACTGACATCAATATTGGCATCCCAAGCTTCCAGTAGATGTGCATTATATCCATTTACCCAGCAGTCCTTTGGTTCACGTTTCAGGATCACCGCACTGGATTTGTTGATGATATTGAGGCATCCTTCATACTCTTGGAGTGTTAAGTTGCATTTACTGAGTAGCTGCTGCAAACCGAGTGAGGCAGTTTCAGGTTCATTCAGCAACAAGTTCAGTGGTTGGAGCTTGGACTTTGCTATTTGCAGTTGCAGTGGAGCAACGCCCTCACCAGGTCTCGATATCATTGTCTTTCTGGAAGGTGGTTTAGGAAAACCAAATCTGCAACCCGAGCTGGGACTTCTGAAACACGTCCGTGAGTGTTTTTTGCTGTGTATTTGCACCTCTGTGACCTTCTTGTACAGTTCAGGTTGTGTGAGTTGGTCAGGTAGCTGAGCTGTGATGTATTTAGACACAAAATCCGAAACAGTCTTATCATCATCCTCCTCAAACACAGGTGCACCTTCTACCCATATGAGACAGTGAATGTGTGGACTTCCTCTGTGCTGAAACTCAACTCGGTAAAAGTAGTCAACGACTTTGCCAAGAGGCTGTGCAGGAGATAAGAGCACATCTCTGAATAAGGCCTCAACACGCTTATCAAACATGCGCATTGTTGTTACAGGGTTGCTTCTAAGAATGTCACACTTTGCTGACCAGTCGAGCCCTTCAAAGTTCACCTCCTCACCTTGCTGTCTTTTTATTGCCTCAATCACTTCAGGCCAACGCATCTCAGCTGCAGAAAATGTACAAAAGAATGTGGGAGTTCCCAACTGTCTGATCATGGCAAAAAGGTCTCGTGTGGTTTTCTCCCAGTAGGCTGGTGTTCCTCTCAGCGGCTGCATGAATCTGACTGCATCTTTGTTTCTCACCAGTTTCTCTACCTCTCGTTTGTTTTGCAGCATACCAGACGTTATTTTTCGTCCATCTCGAGTCATTGGCTTTCCTTTCCTCAACTGTATCGTCATGCTGGATGTGGCCAAGTGTATTTCAGTCACAAACTGAGCAAAGAACAAGTAGTTTGTATCTCTGGCAAAACGATCATCAACACAGAAAAGCCTCGCTTTGAAATAACTGCTGGGTGTTACTTTCATACGTCTCCCTTCATCCAGTGTGTTTTGGCCTGTAGGGAACTGCACAGGGAAAGCCATCGCCTCAAGTTTAGGAGTTTTGAAGAAACCAACTGGACTGTTACTTTCTGCAGGGGCAACCGAGTAGATTCCTTCACTGAAACATAAGATCTCCTCTGAAACATCACACGGCTGAAGACATGATTCTAGAGCAAAACCACCGTTGGGCATTTCACCTTCCTGTTCTTCATCATCTCTTTGCTGCTCTGGTTGTTCACCATCACAAGACAACATGTCAACATCCTGCTCTCCATCAAGCTCAGTTTCTGTCTCACACAGTGCACTTTTGTCACACATGTCAATTTCCTTGAAATCAGCATCATCATAGTCGTTGTCATCCATAGTGGCATCCTCATCATCATCGTCATCTTCATCAGGAAGTGTTGGGTCACAAAGCTCGGCCTCATCTCTGATAGGGATGTCCTGATATTGTGGATGAATGCGTTTGAGTATATGCAGCGCCTGCACTAGTTTAGACCAGGTGACAGTCTGGAACAGCTGATGTCCTCTGTAACACAATCGTCTCTTCAGCTTTACTCTCATCACTTGAGACTCACTTCTCAGTCTGGGTAACGCTTCCACTGTTTCCTGCACCTCAGACGGGACACAAACCACGTTGCCATGTATCGCTCTCTGGCGTCCTTTGGGAAGAGGAATAATCTTTGCAAACGCTATGCACTTGGCTATGAGATGTCGCTCCAATATGTTGAGGTCACACAGTTCAGGTGGAATGTCAGCGAGCTCCAAGTTGTTGGCTACAGCGAGTGTCGGCATGACTCCATCTTTAAGATGATTGTGGCAGGTGTGACAGATCCACTCTTCCTTTCTCTCATCAGGCACATTACACTGTTGTTCATCTCTGCACTCATCATCACACACATGGACGTACTTTCCTGTCAGGCATGCTGCAGCCACGTCTGGATTTCGTACATAGTTTAACCTTTTACAGGGTTTCACTTGGTTTGGAAATGATGCTTTGTGACAGACGGTGCAAACATAAGTGGGACCGGACTTTATTTGTGACCTGAAAACAGATATGGCCTCTTTGATCAAACTGTTGTCACTTTCTTCTATCGGTTTATTTATCTGTCTGTATTTCCTTTTTATTTTCATGGCACATCTCATGTTCCGCATACTCTTATATGTAGGATTGTTTTTGTATCTGTCTTTCATTCGTTGTTTCATTAGTTGTTTGTGTCTCAGCCTGAATGCCTGGTCATGAGCGTATCGCTGAATAATGTGAGATCTCTCTTTTTCTCTCTTCTTTTGTCTAAAATCAATGTTGTTTTTATAAAAAGCAGTGAAGGACAGTTTTTTTCCCTTTCTAAACTCAGCATTGTCTCGGTAGCGGTTCGTAAAGTGCTGTTTTTTCTTCTCTCTAAAATCAGGATTATTTCTGTAACGAGAGACAAAGATTTGTTTTTTTTTCTGTCTAAAATCAGCATTTTCTCTGTACCTGTTTGAAATGTACTCTTTCCGTTTTTGTTGAAAGTCAACGTTGTCTCTTGTATTATTGATTTTCTTTTGTCTAAATTCAGGGTTGTTCTGATATTTGCTTTTTGCATGAGATTTTTTTTCTGTTTTAAATGCTTTATTTGAAGCATACTTTTCCCTTTCTTTCCTTTTTTTACTCTCTTGTCTTTGTTGAGTTTTCTCTGAGATGATCAGTCTTCTCTTCATTTTTCTCCTTTTGTTTTTATCACACTTTGTCAGTTTGCATGAGATTCCCTGTAATAGAACATCAGATAGATCACTGGCAACAGTATTTGCTACTGAAGAAGAAATACTTGGTTCATTGAGAGAAGCATCATGTGATGGAAGGAAAGTGGATTTAGTTGACAGTTCTGGTTCATTGGAGTTTATGACCTCTTGTTGTCTCACCGATGATGTAAAGATGATGTCACTGGACTCTGCTGTCAATATGTCGTCAGATGGATCACTGAGAACAGGGTTTATCACTTGAGCGGTTGATTCTGATTCAGTGTGAGGAGCATCATGTGATGATGTTGTGATGAGGACCTCTGGTTGATTTACAGCTGGAGTGTGAGGAGTCGTTTCAGGTGAACTGGTCTGATCAGTGGCTATAGGTGAGTTTGATTCATCCACAGGGACAGCTGTAGGTCTGCAGTCTGTGTTTGGGAGACCACCGTTCAGGTTGACTGTGTTCACATTGTAGAACTCCACAGGCTTTAACTCATAGTTACAGGAGGACTGTGTGTCCATCATTCTGTGGGACTTCTTGAGCCTGTCAATCATGTCACTGAGACGTGAGAATGTCACCATGACAGCAGTACCTGGTGTGCGTGAACCGGCTGGTAGGGGCAAACCTCTGGCTGTTCTGGAGTGTGGGTCAAAGAAACCGTATCTGCCCGACTTGGTTCTGAACACTGCGATACACAAGAGTCTCATCAACAGCAGAGCGTACTTCACATCTGACAACAAGCAGCTGAGTCCTGACTCCAGGTCCAGAAAGCTGTCCACAGCTCCAGGTAAAGGTTCTCCTAATGTGCCGTACCTTGAAAGCTGAGTCATGTCTGCATGGTGTGTAGCGCTGCGTGCAGGAACTTCATCAGTAAGCTCATCGGTGGTCAGATAGATGTGATTAGTGACTTGTTTCCTGGTCTCTCTATACATCGTGTTACCTTTATCCAAAACATGGTCCAGGTCTGCTCTGGTGATGCTTTCATTCTCATGGAGGAATGCAAGAAAGGTCAGTGAGTTACAGGTGCACTGCCGATTTCTGGATCTGCCGTATCTGATAGAAGCCTGGCTGCGGGATGCACGGACATGTTGTTCAGAAGGCTGATCTCCAGGGTCTACACGGTCTGCATTAGAAGGTCCTGCTGCACATGGTTCTTTACTGGCTTGTCCTCTCTTTATAGTATCTGAAACCCGTGGTATGCACGAAGCATCAGGCTGACATCTCTGGTTCACCTGGTGCACATTAGAAGGTCCTGCTACACATGGATCATCACTGTGCTGTCCTCTCTTTACAGCATCTGCATAAGATGGTGGTGGTGCACATGAAGCATCAGGCTGACCTTCCTGCTCCACACGTTTACACTCTGCAGACATCTTTACCTCTTCACTGCTCTCAGGACCAACACATTCTGCTCCTTCAGTCGTTGTTGCAAAGGGATTCTCATTGGGCCGCTGCCAGCGCAGGCTCTGAGCTTGTGACCTCTTACTCTTCCTTGGCATTGTTGATGTTTCAAAACCACAAATGTACAAAACCAAGATATTAAATGCAATAAGTAAAATATTACTTTTAACGAACAAGGATTTGAAGATGGATTAAACCTGCTTGCTGCTATAAATCAAAAACACTTATGAATGAAAAATTAACTCAGTTTGGGCGTACGCTTTTCAAAACATGAATAAATAACACTTTTCAATATAGATAAATATATTATATTTGAACGTCAAATTCAGTGACAGCAACCTGAAGGATTATTTTATAGTTTTAATATAAAAAACACAATGAAATTATCCAGCTGACGTATTCTAATATATGAGGGTCTAGACAAAGCACTTCTAGATTTGAATACTGCAATCAGGTCTTAGTATGTCTGTCTGCGTAAATAAAGTACCATGTACTAAAGTGACCGATGGTATTTAATATGTAATAGATATTGCTTACTGAGACCTTGACTTATCTGTGGAAATATATAATCAATGTAAAAACTGAAGTCTACCACAAACACACAACTTGGAAGCAGTTGAGTGAAAGCAGCTGACTGAAAGGGCCCTTCAGATTTCAGATGGCTAAATTTACTGGTAGAAATTATCTTAATACTTTATTCGGCTATTGTTTATATTCGGGAGCAGTTGTTGTGGGAGTGTGATGACAGATGGATGGTTCTGAAGAACGTTGGATCAGCAGGAAACAGCCACTCCTGATGAATCCACTTCCTCCTGGTTGACGTCTGTGTTTTATTTCAGTATAAACAACAAAACACTGATATGCACAATGTAAGTTTATAAGAAAAAAATTATGTATTCATTAATTAGGTATAATTGATACAATGCATGTAGCGGAATTATTTCTCCTTGTACGTAGACTAATCAAGTTAACAACAGTGTTTGCTCACAAAACAAACCTTTGAGTACAAACCAACAGGTGCACAGCAACAGCGATCAGGAGCAAATACACTTCTCTAATATGGATTTGTAATAGTTATGTATTTTATTATATATCAGAGTGCAGTTGTCTTTAATTATGTTAATTCAATGCACTTTTGCAAATAGTGTATCAGGAAATCTACCTGATTCAATTATAAAGAGTACTTTTTTACAATACAATTCTTTGGATCATGGTGTAGTTTTTTCAATTATAACAAAAAGATTTGTATTTTATGTTTTTTTAGCTTCTGAATTAACTTTTCAATTCTTTGTTCAGGCAAATTTTGTTAATCTCATTAATAGTAAATTTCAAATGTTTTGTCAAATTAGTAAAAACAGTAATAGTATTGTATAAATATAGGAGTTGATAGGAGAGAGGTGAGAGTGAGAGAAGAGAATCTCTCAGATCATTCAAAAAGGTAGATCAGGTACCAATAACCCGGGTGAGTGAGTGTTCAGAGGAGAGACAGAGAGCGGGAGAGTGGAGATACTCTCAGAGTTCTGTTCAGACAGGTTGCAATAACCTTAGGTTCAGGTTTCAGGGTTCAGGGTTCAGGTTTCAGAATATCAGGGTTTTCAGGCTTCTGTATACAGATAGAGTGGGATAGAAGAGGGATACAAAGATAGAGTTTCCAAAATCAGACAGAGCGGTAGATTTGACAGGAAAGCTAGAGTTATCAAATTGTAGACAGAGTGGATACAAGGTATAGGAGAGACAGAGAGCCAATGGGATAGAGGAGGAGAGATGCTGGACAGCAGGACACCTGCAAGACACAAGAAAAACATCCGTTAGACAATCTTCTACCACCACTGGATCATTGAAGGTGTCATCTAACCGTAACATATATATATATATATGCTGGCAGGCACTTATTGAGTGTTGATTAATTAATTATAGACTATTCTCTTGGAAAATGTTGACAGAGGGACATCAAAACTGTAGAAGGCTAAAGCTGTTGGTTGTACATCAAGAACTGTCAACAATGATTCCTGAGCCGATGTGGGGCTCCCGTGATGCTGTAAGTGCACGCATTGTAAAGCCCTGAGAATATTTTTTTACGCTCTGTGAACCAAACAGAACCCGTAACACAATACAGTGTTTCCCCTACCATTATAAGAGGGGGGCGCGCCTCCCCCCCTGAAATAACTCCACCCTCCCCTGAAAAAGTGTGCCATTTAAAAATGTACATATATTTTTATTTATTCATTTTTCTACGCACAGCAGTCCCACACTGACATTGCTATGTTGCGAATATGTCCGTGTGGCGCTCGCAGCAGCAGGGCCGAGCACCAGAGTAACAACAGCCCTCAAAGAAGACACAGCTGACACAAAGCCGCTAACATACGTGCCGAAAATAAAACCAAGAGGTTGAGCAACACACGCATGCTGCTCACACAGGCAATGCAGCTCAGCCATCAGTGATTCATTACAACTAAATGTTTTAAGAAAGTGCATCCAGTTGGCAATCATATGTGAGAACTTACTGTCAAATATCCATGGAGTCACCAACACTGGCAGGCTGCAGTTAGACAGGGAACAGGAGGCAGAAGGAAAGAGAACTCAATGAGGGTTTCGAGACAGATTATTATGATGAGAAGGCATACTAAACTCTAAACCATCCATCCATTGTCAAACCGCTTATCCTGCACACAGGGTCGCGGGGGGGCTGGAGTTTACTTACAGCAATATCTGAATTGATGTGTGAACTTGCACTTTAGAGTCACCAGCCGTTATGGTCTGCCGTCCAAGATAGAAAAGGCGAGTCGGCAGGAGGACGAGGAGGGTGACGGATGAAGAGAGGGAGAGAAAAGAAGAAATTTTCAGTTCAGTTTATTTAAAATGTACTTTCAATGTATTTCCTTATTGATAATTTTTGTCTCATTGAAAAATCACAATTTTCACAAAATTAATATAAAGAATATAAATATTAATTGCAGTGTGGCAGATTTGTGGCAATACTGACTGATGTCAACAAGACAACAAATAATGAACATACATATTGAATATATTATTTCAATATGTGTTAATGCCTCTCGGGGACTTTAATAATTAAAATGGCTCTCAAACGTAATATCTTTTAATCGCTTAATTCCTCAATAAAAATAAACAAAGACATTTGAGGACATTATCTTGCAATATAGGCTATTAAAAACGTTTCCCATTTCAAGTATTAACTATTCAACTGATAAAGAAACACAAACAAAAAATACATCAACAATTTCAATAATGATATGTGGCAACCATCCACAAAATACAATGTAAATGTTCTTTTTAATAAATTGAAAAGATCTACGTATGTCATATACGTATGCAGTATAGTTGTGTAGTAGTGTTAGCTATTTCTGTAACTTACCAAACACAATGCAGATAAGGAGGATGCTCTGTTGTCTAAGAGAGGAAACAATATGACAAAATGACATTAAGAAGGTTCAAACTTTCAGCCTTTAAACAAAACACCATAGGAAATTATTACATAGAGAGAGAAGTAGATTACCGCTGTTCCATATTACCAACATAGTTAATTATGTTTCTCAAAAGACAAACTACTTTAAATGCTATTGACATCGGATTTGTAACTTATCCATAATTCAGACATGAATGGAGGAGTGAAATATTCCCGTGGTTACCACATGCTAACTTCTACGTAGGCCTAATGCTAAAAATAGGCCGTGGCAATTTCATCAGTTGGCGGACTAATTTGGCAGCGAGCAAAGTAACGCTAACCAGCTAACTAGTAGCTAATGCCAACCAACTAGTCAACACAAACTGACAAAACCCTTGCAATTTTAACCAATTTGTCAATGAACATACTTTAAGTCAGCATTATCTCGTGTTATAATACTGTTGATTTAATGCAGCGCTCTGATTGGTTGACCGTGAGTCACGTGGTGCACATTATTGAGCGATGTACAGTTCTTGTTTCATATCACTGCGCACTAAGAGTAACGGTTTGAACGACGTTAGTATCAGCAATGAGGTACTCGAGGCAGTACTTTATGTACAGCCTCTTGTACCTTATTGCTTAATAAACGTTACGAATGAATTTAAATCGCTTCCTTCCTTATAATGAACTATGACACTAATAGACGAAATATTTCCCTCATATGGCACACAAATGAACCCGTGACTTAACGTTAAACCACGATAACATAAAGGCTATAGCGCAGACTGTATCCATATTAACTGAAACGTTAGTTAGCTAACCAAGTTAGTTACCCAACTAACCAGTTCATGCCAGTTCAGCACATAACTTAATACCGTTACATATTTGTCATACTAATGTGCCGCTAGCTTAGCGGCTATGCTATTGTTAGCCACGTTTTGGCGTTGACATACACAGGGAATATTTCACTCTTTCATTAGTGTACACATACTGCACGGGTTACAAACGGACGACAACGCCGTTTCACAACTATATAACTGTCATTACACCATCCAAACTATGAGCCCTTAGACCCGCGGCTCAGCGGTACTTACCGGTCAAGACTTCAGAGGAATTTGACGGAGATGCGTTGATGTGACGTTAGATTTGATTGATGCATTCAGGAACATTTGGACATTACGCTCTCAAAATGCCGGGTTCGATAGAAACTGTACCAAACAAACCTCAAAGCTTAATTCCTCAGCTGTCATAATGCATTTTATTAAATCTATAGTTGTCCTTTAAGAGCACTCGTATCATCAGCGAGATACTATAGTTTAAGCTGATAAATTGACAACAAGATATGGTCAATACATGTGGTTAATTCTTGAAATGTGAAAAGTTGATTAAGTAATGTTTTCCTAAGGCATAATATGAATTCACTAATGATTTTTTAGTACATAATACGAGACTAATTTGTGACACTATTACCTTGTTAAATCTAGTTTTGGAAATAGCAACATTAAGCTCCTACGCGGTGTATCAGGCAAACACTTACGTCATCAGCCATTATTTCCGACATCATCGGAGCGCTTTTGAACTCATCACTGTCAAAATCACTGTCAAAAATCCATATAAAAATTTCGCGGGCAAAAGTCCATCTCGCGCAAGCAAAAGTCGGTGATTTGCCTCAGTCCTGTGAAAGCTGACAGAGAAGTAAGTTTGTTCCTCTCTAAATGAGATAAGAAAATGAAGAATATGAAGAATAACTGACATTAATTGAGTATTTATATTGTATAACCCTATAAGTATAACCCTTTTTAACAAAAGAAACAATTAAGTGACTAGAGTTGTTTAAAATGTTTAAGCTAGCGGTTGGATAGATTATCTTGGTTAGCAAAAGCGATTTCCAAATAGTGGTCATCAATTTTTTAATGCAGTTTAGCGTTTTAGGCAAACGTAATGCTCTCTTTAATCCAATATATATTAACCTTATACGTTTGTGATAACCATATACTAATGAAGCAACACAATATGAAATAAAAGAAACGTTTTAGAAAATAATGTGTACTAACCTACTACATAGCTTTTTCTTAATGCTTTGTGTTTATTTTAATATTTCAGAATGGCATTAAAGACGCTTTTGACAACAAAGCCTCCAACACCCTATTTTCGCCCCCCGCCAATCCACCTATGTGTGGTGTTGGTGGTGGAGCAGCCCAGGGTGGTGGCCTGGGAGTTTGACGCAAATGGTGCGAGACCAGCACAGACTAAAATGAATATTCTGGCCGCATTAACAGATGGGGATTCAGTGGCCAAGGTCACTGTATTCGAGGAGTTTGGAAAAAGATTTAAGGAGGGTGGCAGTTATAATGTGAAGGGGCTGTCTCTGAGAGGGCAGTCCCCCCCATATCAATTAAACATTACCAAGGACACGCTGTTCTTTAGGAGCGCTCCTATAGCGCTCAGCGCAGCGCTCAAACGTGAAGCAGAGCTTCTAATACACCCCCCCTCTCCACTGACTCCGCTGAGCACCTGCCGGGAAGCCAGGGGCCTTATAACCGTGGAGGGCGAGGTGGTCGAGGTAAATTAAGTTTCAGCCTACAGTGGTTTAAAAAGGAAACAGGTTTAATATTAGCTGCAAATTGGTATAAAATGTCAATTAACTGAAACATTAATTTTGTTCAGCTGTCAGCTTTAAAAGAAGTCACGACAGGGAGAGACGTCGTTCCATTGCGGAACGTCACGATGCAGCAGGTAGGCAGTCCACTTCATTCATACATACATATATATAATAAAATGTATTTATTAATTTAGATAGCTGAGTAATTACGCTACATATATCGTATGAAGGCAAATAACTGTCAAAAATCCAAATCCATATCAAACATTTGCGGGCAAAAATCCATGCTCGCGCACACATGAAACATTCGCCAACTTTTGCTGCGCGAGATGGACTTTTGCCCGCGAATGTTTGATATGGATTTATTTTGACAGTGATTTGCCTTCATAAGAGTCCTCAGACACATATATATATAATCTCTCTCTCTCTCTCATATATATATATATATATATAGAGAGAGAGAGAGAAAGAAAGAGAATTAAAGTAATTAAAATATTATTTCACATTACCTTCTACAGGGGGAATCACAGATGTCGCTGTGTTTCTGGAGGGAGGCGGCCGTATGGCAGCTGCAGGTGGGGGCCCACATTAAAGTTTCCCATCTTAAAGCTGGAAGGTCTAACTATGGGCTCAGACTCCAGTCCACAAACTTTTCCACCATCGAGGTAGGCCTACTTGTTTTTTTATGAAATTGAAACAAACTTTTTAGACAATCTTTACACTATCTGGCTTCAACAGCAAAGTTTGATTGGGTGATGTTATGTTAAATTTGAAGTGGCTATTTAAAAAAAAAAGTTGAATAAATTATAATGCAATGCCTCCGTGCTGGGGTTATTTTATTTGCCTGCTTAAAAACGATAATGATTGCTCTGGATTGCGGCTGACAGCGGGATAATGTCTACTTTTCTCTCAAAAGGAGGTACGCTCAGAGGACATCGTGGGGGCACTCGGGGTGATGGAGATTGAGGGAGATCCGGGGAACCTCAACCTTCTTCTGGAAGACGGCCGTACCGTCTTAATTGAGGAGAGATTGTGGGAGCCAATCGAACTTGTCATGATTGAACCCGTGATAAAAGTTCAAATTAAAATGACAGGAAACAAGGTGCAGGCGATTGAAGTGGCGAAAAATTAAAATTTCTACTGTTATAAAATGTATATGTTTATAAGATTGTGTTCATAATGTATTAGTTATGTGTTCATTTTGTTGTTCATTTTGTTTTGACTTGTTACTTATGTTCAATTGTTTTTTTTACGCTTGTTTATAATTGTTATTTGTTGCAATAAATATTCAACCGTAGCAATGTTGTCCGTTACTGTTCATTTTGAATGCTGTATGTGACTTATTTTCAGTAGAGGTTTCTTATCCCCTTTAGCAATGATGGCTGGTGGAACACTTCCTATAGGACCATCCAATCAATTTCAGCAAACATTCAAGTATTAGTTAATAAAAACAATAAGGGGAATCAAAAGCATTAGTACCTTGCAGTTGGGTATAATTTATTCCAGCACTAAAAAAGCAGTAAATAACACTGACATCTTATTTCTGTCACCCTCACAGGTAATTCAGTATAATATTCATACATTTTATATTATGTGTCCTTCAAACTATGACGTTATCAATCGATAGGCCTCATCAAAAACATTACAGTAAGAATTCCCTCCATGGGGCTTTTTTTTTGAAATTATTGGATTGGGTGGGGTGGGGGGGTGTAGATAGAGGGAGGGAGGGTGAGGAAGGGAGGGGTGGCGAGGAAGAGATAGAGGGAGAGAGAGAGGAGGAGAAATAGACAGACAGACTGACTGACTGAGTGATTAACAGTGAGAAGAGGTCAGGGTGGAGGGGGGAGGGGGGCGAGTGTCTTTATCATATTGGTCTGTTGACAGAAAGCATAGCTGCGTCATGTGACTCCACTAATCAGGTCATAGGAGCAGCTGTGAGCCACAGACAGATCCTGCAGCGTGTGAGTGCTCGTAACCACGACAACGACGCACCTGTGCGGCTGCAAAACGCAGAGACATGGCAGCAAGTTACACAGAATCCACACCTCAAACAAATGGGAACCAGCGCAAAACTATAACAGCTATCTAAAAAATACTACGTTTGTATGAGACCCAAGACTCTACCGAACGCGTGGATGTGTTTTTATGTCTGTCCGGTAATAAATACGGCTCCTATGGCCGTTGACAAAACGTGTACCTTGTGGATTTTTGTGAGAAATATGTCGGCAGATTTGTATTGGAGCCTATGGGGCTTTTGGCAGAGGTTGTGTCACTCAAACACTCCTTGCGCCAAAACTAAAAAACTCTGGGATTCCATGAACGCATTAATCCAATCAGCACAACCATACCCTCATTAATCTGAAGAAATGAAGCCTCTAGAGTGTATACTTTGGCTGCAAGGACAGAAGTTCCATCTTTTTTTAACCAGATTCCTGCGATGCCCCACACTCTAGCCCTGGAGCTCTCCACTCTAGCAGACGCAATACACACTCATGTAAAAGTCAGAAACGGAGCGAAGAACTAGTGAAACATAATCAGTGATTATGAAAAAAGTACAATAGATATCAAGAAGCAGTTTTTTTCATAAAATAGTTTAGACTTGTGTCAACATTTGAAAGTTTAAATGGTGTCTGTAGCTGAAAGATTGACGAAGCTGAAGAATCTGAAAGTTGAAGAAGTTTAAGAGGATTTGAAAAACTATCTCCATTGGAAAACCATGTTAAAATATTAATGATTATAGATTTATATAAATTCAAGCTTAAGAGCTAAAAAGCTGAAAAGTCACAGCTCCCCTCTCCCGAAAGAGCTGAATAATTTAATATTTGTATGGTTTTAATAGCTGAAAGTGTGAAGGAGTTGAAAGGCGGCGCGGAAGAAATAGAAGAATCATAATAATAAGTCGGAATAAAGATTCGAAGAACAATACTTGGAATGCATCTTAATGCATTCCAACAATAAAGATTAGAAGAACAATACTTGGAATGTCTAAAGCATTCCAACTAATTAGTCGGAATAAAGATTCGAAGAACAATACTTGGAATGCATGCTTAATGCATTCCAACAATTAGAAGAACAATACTTGGAATGCATGCTTAATGTATTACAACAATTAGAAGAACAATACTTGGAATGCATATTGCATTCCAACAATAAGTTTTATAAAGATTCGAAGAACAATACTTGGAATGCTTAATGCATTCCAACAATTAGAATTTGAGCACAGGCTAAATATAGCAGCTATTATCACTCTACAACTGCTCAAAGTAAACACAGAAAACATCGTGTTTCAGGCGAACCGATTCCTGTGGGAGGAGATGGAGGTCAAGGTGAAGAGACTTTTTGTACCACAATCTAACTATTGCACAGTTCTATTATTTCCATTGGTCATAGTTCTCGATTGTCAAGTTATAACCGTCAATATTCGTGTAGCTTCAGATAGGAATGCAGAAAAATACAACCAATAACTTAATCAAAGGGAAATATTACACCATTAAAGTAAAGCACTATCTGGTTTGCGTCTTTTTCTGTTCATTCAGAGATTATCACCAACTGTCAACGTGAACTCAAATCCAACCTGAAGAAGAAGTTCCAGCGTGTGTTTGAGGGGATCGCTAAAGCAGGAAAGACAACCCTTCTGAATGAGATCTACACAGAGCTCTACATCACAGAGGGAGGGACTGCAGGGGTCAATGAGGAACATGAGGTCAGACAGATTGAAACAGCATCCTGGAAACCAGACAGACCAGAAACAACCATCAGACTAGAAGACCTCCTCAAAGCCTCAGCTGGAGGAGAGGAACCAATCAGAACAGTGATGACTAAGGGAGTGGCTGGCATTGGGAAAACTCTCTTAACACAGAAGTTCACTCTGGACTGGGCTGAAGACAAAGACCACCAGGACATACAGTTCACATTTCCATTCACCTTCAGAGAGCTGAATGTGCAGAGAGAGAAGAAGTTCAGCTTGGTGGGACTTGTTCATCACTTCTTCAGTGAAACCAAAGCTGCAGGAATCTGCAGGTTTGAAGAGTTCCAGGTAATGATCATCTTTGACGGTCTGGATGAGTGTCGACTTCCTCTGGACTTCCACAAAAATGAGATCCTGACTGATGTCACAGAGTCGGCCTCAGTGGATGTGCTCCTCACAAACCTCATCAGTGGGAAGCTGCTTCCTTCTGCTCGCCTCTGGATAACCACACGACCTGCTGCAGCCAATCAGATCCCTCCTGAGTGTGTCGGCATGGTGACAGAGGTCAGAGGGTTCACTGACCCCCAGAAGGAGGAGTACTTCAGGAAGAGGTTCAGAGATGAGGAGCAGGCCAGCAGGATCATCTCACACATCAAGACCTCACAAAGCATCCACATCATGTGCCACATACCAGTCTTCTGCTGGATCACTGCTGGAGTTCTGGCGAATGTGTTGAAGACCAGAGAGGGAGGAGAGCTGCCCAAGACCCTGACTGAGATGTACATTCACTTCCTGGTGGTTCAGTCCAAATTGAAGAAGGTCAAGTACGATGGAGGAACTGAGACGGATCCACACTGGAGTCCAGAGAGCAGGAAGATGATCGAGTCTCTGGGAAAACTGGCCTTTGATCAGCTGCAGAAAGGCAAGCTGATCTTCTATAAATCCGACCTGACAGAGTGTGGCATCGATATCACAGAAGCCTCAGTGTACTCAGGAGTGTTCACTCAGATCTTCAGAGAGGAGAGAGGACTGTACCAGTACAAGGTGTTCTGCTTCGTCCATCTGAGTGTTCAAGAGTTTCTGGCTGCTCTTCATGTCCATCTGACCTTCTACAGCTCTGGTGTCAATCTGCTGTCAGAAGAACAAACCTCCCACCAGTCTAAACGCTCTAAACCCAATCCTGAACCACAGCATCTCTACCAGAGTGCTGTGGACGAGGCCTTAAAGAGTCCTAATGGACACCTGGACTTGTTCCTCCGCTTCTTCCTGGGTCTTTCCCTGGAGACCAATCTGACTCTTCTACGAGGTCTGCTGACAAA